ATGATTGTTGAGGTAATCTAAACATGAAGGAATGATATAGTCTGAACAAAATAGGTAAGATGGAAAATGGAGATGATGAGAATGGACATTTCTTCAGAGAAAGTAATAACATTTAATGACTGACTAGGAGAGAAGTGATCAAAAGTGATTACCAAATGCTCAAATGGGAAAATGGCGGCAGAACTCTGAAAATCTATAAAGTTGGAAATATTATAAAATGTAAAGAAAAATTACTCAAAATTCTTTTGCCCCAAAGCCCCACAATACTTCATACCAGTATTCTTTAATTTGTTTCCAGGAAACACATTTGAACTGTTAAAGTTTCCATATATGTATTAATTTAGTTCTATTGTGAATTCTCTTTTAAAGGTTGATTATCATTTTATTATAGCATATGTAACGAAGCACTTTATCTGAATAACTAGAGATTTTATAAGTGGCTGAAATATCACCTTTTCCTGCAAATGGGAACTTACAAAGAGTTGTTTTAGATATGAGAAACTAAGGCCTGGGAGCTAAGGCTTGTATTGCTCTGAATCATATGGGTTAAAAATGATGAATCATATTTGTGTAGCGCTGAAGAGGTATCAGGCACTGTCCTAAGCGACCTATTTATATTGAATGATTTCACCTCACAATAAAGCCTATGAGGTAAGCATTATATTACTACCATCCTCATTTTGTAGTAGGAAAAAGTAATGTTCAGAGAGGTTAAGAATTATTTTAAGTTTGCACAGGTGGTAAGTGGAAGAGATGGGACTTGAGCCCAAGTCTTCAGGCTCAGAGTCATTTCTCTGATCCACTATATTATAGTGCCAATCATACCAAGAAAGTCAAGAGGCAGTTGTGACAGTCTTTCATCCTGAAGGTCAAACACAGAACTGCATACGTTTAGAGATATTGCGTTAGAGTTATTTCTCTCCTGCATGCATGTATGGAGGATACATTTTTTGTAACTACAAGGAGATCCTCATAATTCAGAACAATAAATCAAACTCAAATAATTTTCTCTGACTTGTGCACAGAGGCATGCTTACAAAACATTTATAAAAGCCTCTTTAAGGAAGAGCATGTTTCAATCTTTGAGGTCACCCGTGTAGCCTACTGGGCTTTCCTGGTGGCTCAGACAGTAAAGAATCTGCTTGCAACGCAGGAGCCTATTAATATTGAAATACAGAAATGAAAGGAGAAAATTAAACCTCAGTTGTGCTTAATATGGAGAAGGAAATTACAGCCCACTCCAGTAGTCTTGCCTGGAGAGGAGCCTGGCAGGCTACAGTCCATGGGGTAGCAAAGAGTCAGACACAACTGAGCGACTAAGACTTGTGCTTAATAAGCATTCAAATATCTTGAGTCAAGAAGGTTCAATGGAAAAAACATATTCTCATGCTAATTTGCAACATTGTGATTGAGAAGAGGAATTTTTAAAATTACCAAATCATTTTCTAGTAACATTCAACAATATTTCTAAAATATTTTTCTATCATCATCAGAAAGAGAAACATTTAAATTATATTTGCAAATATTTCACTTAATAATAATGCAGCCTCACTGTATTTTTGGAATATTCAAATACCTAAGGATTGTTTTCAATGACAAAAATTTTAAATGAATGCTATTCTATTTGTATTATGGGGCATGTTCTATCACTCTATGCTGAATCAAAATCTTAAAGGATTTACATCTTTTTGAAAGAATCAGCATCAAAACATGTATATTATCAAGGGTGAAACAGATCACCAGCCCAGGTTGGATGCATGAGACAAGTGCTCAGGGCTGGTGCACTGGGAAGACCAGAGGGATGGGATGGGGAGGGAGGTGGGAGAGGGGGTCAGGATGGGGAATATATGTAAATCCATGACTGATTCATGGCAAAAACCACTACAATATTGTAAAGTAATTAGCCTCCAACCAATAAAAATAAATGGAAAAAAAACCACACTGTAGAAAATAAAAAAAAAGAGAAAAGATAAAAAATTACAAATGTTCACCATCTTAATGAAAAAATGTTCAACATTTTGTATATATAATAATTTCTTTCTGTTTTTTCCCCTAAACATAGTTTTTTAAAATGACAAATAAAAAATAGCTTTAATCACTTGGCTACTTACAAAAACAAACAAAAATAAATGAAAGAATCTAACATCTACAGAGAACCTTTTACATTTGCTAAAACCTTGAATGAGGTTTTACTGTAAACATAGAACTGTAGTTTCTTAAATTATTATAACATGTATTAATATAATTGCAAGCAGTGATGGATGTAATACCTTTTGATTTGTAATATCAAGAGTGTTTTTATAGACCTCCACAAAGCCTTTTGAAGGGACGAGGGAGGGATAATCTATGTTTTGGAAGGTTGGGGGCACAATTGCCTTCCTATACTCTGCTGCTGGATGGGATGGAGGAGGGATCATCTAAGTCTTAGATGATGGAAAGGAACAGCTGCATCTCCACCTGCCGCATCTTGGATGGAGCAGACATGGGATCATGTAGGTCTTAGGAAGATTAGAGGCAGAGCTTCATTGTCATCCTTTACATGTTTAAGCCACCAGACAGAAGTTATTGCAACACTGTTTCATGTTTTATTAGGAATGCTGCAACACAAAAGAATAAGAGAATGCTCCCAGGAAAAGAGGGTAAGGGGTCAAAATGGCTAGAGGAATTTAGATTTTGAAGCAAATACAAACCCGAAAAATAAAATAGTTCTCTAGACAAAAAGGGAGACCATTTGCCCTAATTTTAAATGCAGTTACTATGAAAGAACTATCCCTCAAATGTCTATTATTTGAAATTTAAAAAATCTCTTAACATCGTTTCCCTTTAAATTTGTGGTGTTAATATTACTGCTTCCTTAGTTAATGATATGCCTTTAAAATAATTAATTTGTTTAATATACTTTTTAATGTGCATCTACATAAAAACTTAGGGAGGACATTTAGCAGACAGTATTTAAAACATTTATTTTCTCACATTTTTCTGTATTTTACCCTTTCTGTTTTTCTAGTATGCCTGCTAAAAATAAAGTATTATACTCCAAGGCAAAACCATCTCCTAACCTACTCTATTCATTTTAATGGTAAATAACTAATGATCTCTATTTGAATTAGTAAAGTAACCCAAACAAAAATAATTGAAACACATTAAAAATTAATTTCATATGTAGATATATTTATCACATGTATCTTTACATTCAATAATATATTTGTTGTTAACGTTCACATCTTCCACAGCAATAAGAGTTAGCACACTTTTCAACATGGGATATTTATTGGATAAAATAAAATGTCACTGAAAGACACAGGGCTGGAAGGACACAAAGAAACAATGCAGTGAAATTACTTAATTTGACAGATAAAAAATGAGAAGTACAAAGATACTTATGATTATCATTATTACAAAGTAGTATTTAAAAAGTAGACTCTTTTCATTTGGTCTTGAACCCCCTGCTCTAATTATAAAATCTAAGGACCTGAAAGAGTTTTGAATAATATTCCATAGTGTCTAACTCCCTCTGAAATTTTGCCTGCCCTTTATGACATCTCAAGTGCTACTGAACACTGTATCAGTGCCTACAACTTGGGGACTTTAGTCCCTAAGGCACTCATCCATTTTTGAAGACCTCACATTAAAAAGAAACACTTTTACAGAAAGAAATCTGTGCTTTAGATTTCATTCAATAAACCTGATTCTTAGGCTGGGTTGAGGGAGATAAGGAACCATGTCAGGGTATGTGAATAGGGAAGACTGAAATAGAGAGGATTGAGTGCGCATGTACGGAATTTAATTCTCCTTTCACACGACAGTGTTTCAAGCCCCAAGAGCTTGAATATATAATATCTTCTCTTAGGTCTCACATCTTAGTTTCCAGTCCTTCTAAGTCACAGTCTGGTGAGTTCTAATGTATTGCATTTAGGGCTGAAACAAGTCCACAGACATAATCAGGTCAATGTAGTTCTATATTCCTCATTCTAGATAAGTCAGTCAGTATTACAGTCTCTTAAATCCATCTGGGCAGAAGTTTTGCTTGCTTATTTGTTTTTTGTAAAGAAAGATGCTCAAAGACATTCTGAACCCCACTTGTTTCTGACACGTGACTGGGGTGGAGATAGTATGTCTCTCTTCACCTTAAGGTTGCAATTTTAATGTCACAGAATACTTTGAACAATGCAAACTTTACATTTAACAATTTTATATGGACTGCTTCTAAGCAAAATCTTCCATTTCTGAAAGAGCACATGTGATTTTTTAAATTTAGTAAGGACCTTACATTCATCGCATTAACTTCCAACTTTTCAGGTGGTTTCTGTCTAGATATTTGCTGTGTCTGATTATGTTTTCCTGAATTTCCACAGTTCTGCATTTTTGTGGGCATATTTCCTGTATGTTTCTTTAAATTCTACAAATATGTTGACAGGATAGAGTCCAGAAAAAGAGTTCTGCATACCTCCAAAAGAAAATTCCCTCAGAGTGACTTAACCTCAGGGATGGTTAGTCACCAAATTCCTAATCTCTCCTGTGACTGACACCAGAGACCTAAGCCAATGCTAGGCTCAATTTAAGATCATTCTAGACTGGCCATCACAAACATTTACAATTAAGCACTGAAGCTGATAACCCCTAGTTATTATGTTATAAGATAAATTTAGCATAAAGTTAAGTATCACATTAAAGTTTTCATGTGATATGTAATCAAAAACCTACTTCAAAGAATACTTTAAAATAGATTAGGAAAATTATCATTTTTCTGGGACTAAAGATCTTAAGCAGTTTTGAATCTCAGTATTTCATCTACTATTGTTTCTGAAATAATAGTACTGATATAAATCCTGAAATATTCAGTATAAGTACTGAAATAAATACTGAAATACTCAGTATTTCATCATATCTATTATTAAAGAACAAGAGGTAAAATTTTCTAAAAAACATAGTTCTCATACACATTCTTCTATTGTTACCATGGTAATATCTTTCTGGCAGTAATTAAAACAGAGTCTTACCAAAGATGCTGGGTTCCTTGCTAGGCTGGGGCGTCAAGGAGGCATTATTCATAGCATCAACCTGGGTTCTATGATCATCTACCTGGAAATCATTCACTGGAAAACATATATAGCCAATTAAAATAGAAGACGTTGTCACAAGCTCATAACTGTACACATAAAGCACAGAAATTGTGTTTAGAAAAGTAAATGTCTAGAAATTTTATTTACATTGTTTTGTTAAATTGTGCTGCATGCTCATTCGCTCAGTCACATCTGACTTTTGAGACCCTATGAACTGTAGTCTGCCAGGCTCCTCTGCCCATGGGATTTTTCCAGGAAAAGATACTGGAGTGGGTTGCCATTTCCTCTTTAAGGGGATCTTCCTGACCCAGGGATCAAACCTGAGTCTCCTGCATCTCCTGCATTGGCAATTGGATTCTTAACCACTGAGCCACCTGGGAAGTGGTGAACAGTGAATCTTTAAACCTATCTAAAGATATATCTTATAATATTTCCATGAGTATCTTTGATATTCTTTGTCAAAACAAAAGGGGGTAACAGTTAATGTTTAAGTCACTCCTTTAATTAATTTTATAGATAGATAAAACTGACCTTCAGTGGTAGTTTCCAAAGAACCATTTCCCCTCAAATTGTTATAAACCTAAGGGATCTTAGCAGTCCTACTCTTGTGCCTAAATTTTACTATAGTATTCTCAGAAAGGAAAATTAAATAATCTAATCTAAAAAAATTTTTTGATGAAAATAATTTCCACTATAAATTTCTTAGGGCTTCCCAGGTGGCACCACTGGTAAAGAACTCACCTGTCAATGCAGTAGACATAAGAGATGCAGGTTTGACCCCTGGTTGGGAAGACCCTTTGGAGGAGGGCATGGCAACCCACTCCAGTATTCTTCCCTGGAGAATCCCATTGACAGAGGAGCCTGGGGTTTACAGTTCATAGGGTCACAAAGAATTGGACACGACAAAGAATTTAGTACACACAAATTTGTTAATTCTCTATTTCTTAAAAAAAAATTAAGATAGTGACTAATTTATATCAGATTTAGAGTGAATACAATGGATCTTCACTTGCATGGCTGCAACAAAATGGGTAAACCTGAACATCCTTTAAGATGTCTTATTTTTAAAAGAATGTCTGCAAAATGAAGTAAAAGGAGATGAGAAATAAACATACATGTGTCTTCACAGGTGTTCTTGCATTCTTCCAGTGATTCAAAGTTGTTGAGATTCCCGAGGCACCCACCATACTTGAAACGTTCACACTGCTTTGATTGATTGTTATAAAAATACCTAGTAATATAACCTCGACAGATTCCAGCATCTTCTTCCAAAAAGCAGAAATCTGGCTTTTCTAAAAATTATTAAAACATCAGAAAGTAGTATTCTTTTTTTGAGTAATTTAATTATGCTAATTAAAAATATAAACAACTGGTTAAGTTGAAGTTATTTAAGGAGTACATATGAAAAGGTAAAGATAAAAGGAAAAATATAACATTATCCATAACAATATTTTATCCACTTTGACATTTAGAACAATGTATGTACAACTGTCATACTTTGAGTCTATTGGAATTTCAAGTTCTAAATTTCTCATAGTTAATTAGCACATTAACTATCAACTCTTTCATAAATTGAGAAAATAAAAAATATTGGGGTTTGATTACCCTTGGTTTGGAAGTGTAAAGTATTATGGCAAAAATTTGGTTTATTTATTTTTGTTAACCTTTTTGCATCTACATTTGGAAAGAGCCACAAATTTCATAATTTTCAGGTGTGTAATCTAATTTTAAAGTATACTGTGCTTCTTCATTATGAATGGTTTCAATTTTTATAAACAAAAAAGTTTTGATGGGGGGTGGAGGCTTTCATGGCTATACTTAGAAGCTCCTAAATTCTTATGCTGAAATTAATATCTGTATTAGGTATGACATCCTCCACCACTGTATCTCTTGTTTTTCTTCCAGGCATTGGAATGACTCCAATAGTGCAGAAAGGAAATACATGTTCAGGGATTGGAGAGGCTTTTGAAAAAGCCCAATACCCACTCTTTGATAGTGCTCCAATCCAGGCTAAACACAGCTGTCATAAAAGTTGTGCCACTGTGGTTTACATTACAAGCCTTGTTTACATGCATACGCAGAAAGAAGAGCTTCAAATTATTTTCAAAATTATTATGATTGCAAGATATATTGTGCTTGAATTTTTAGGGAAAAGCTCAAGCTTCCCCATTTCCTGTCCATTCTAAAACTATATATTACCATAGAGGAAAAATGAACTGCACAATCCTTTCACATCTTAAAACATGTTGTGTCCATCTTAAGGAAACAATATTAATGAGTGTTTATTTTAAAAAGAACATGTATTTAATAATGTTAATGATTTCCACAACAGTAGAAAAATCAATCTGCATGAAAAAATTATTTTATTAAGTAAAACATACTATTTTAATACAGAGTAAAGTATCTATTTCTGTGACTTCTCAAAGTACTGATTTGAAAATTATTTTGTTCCCTGTTTACTGCCTCTTGTTTCTTAAGGTGAATGTTACTCTTATTTTCCATGGTAAAAATTTGTGGTTAAGTATGATATATGAAATAAGGAAAAATCCTACTTCCTTAAATTTTTATAATATACTATAAGAGAAAAAAAAATACATTTGATCACTAAGTTGATTTGTTTAGGTCTTAGTATGTACTTCTTATAAAACTTTAAATCATATTAACAAACAATACAAGAATTCTATGTTTAACAAAAGGGAGTAGGTAAAAAATTATTGACTACAAAGATGAGAAAATGGTAATAAATTATGCTGAAATGTAATTAAGGAATTATACAACTGAAAGTTGCTATCATTTATATGAGACCCCATTGTAGGACAGAAACTTATTTTAGGAGTTGATATTGCATACTTGTAAAATTATTCTGCTTAGGCCTACAGCTTAAAATATTTATGAATAAAAATTAAGAAATTCATTCCAACATTCCTCAGATAAATAAAGTTTTAATACTTGTATTGAATCTGTATATACAATTCTTGCTCTAAATTGACGCTCAGTTAAAACCTAGAATGCAAGCTTTAAGCTATATACCAACTTCCATAAGCCACAAGATTCCATGATTCTCACTACTAACTTTTGTTTCAAGCTGCAAACCTGATAACTGTCTGAAGCAAAACTTTCTCCCAAGGCACGTTGTAGAGAATCTCCAATGCCTCTGTAATTGTTCTGATGGTGATGCTGGGAGGCACATGACAAAGTTAACTTCAAATCAGTATGTTTAAAGGTCTTCATTATTGATTACTTTTAGCATCTGACCATTTTTAGAGGTGAATAGAACTGATAGCTTTATTCTCTTTCATATGTAGTATCAAAATAGAATGAATTCTGAATCATTAAATATAATAAGTAGCATCATTTTCTAGTAAATTTTCCCTGCATATAATTTTTTCCTAATTCTACATTTTTGAAAAAAAATCCTAACATTTAAATATTAAAGATATCATCTCTTACTTGATCAACAAAAAGTCTATTTATAAATATGATATTACAGAGAGGAAGAATTTCATTTAATTGAGGTAGTGAACATTTTTGCAAAAATTAATTCAATATTTATAGAAAGTTATTTTACAACTTGTAAATAAATACATTTACTTATGTTGGTTGTACAAACTTTCTTGCTGAATTTATTTTATAAATTTTGATTGTAATTCTGGACCATAAACTATCTTAAGCTTATCAATGAGTTGTAGAATTTTTCAGCTCTTTCTCACATGATTAAGTCAAAGTCAGTAAAACTAAAATTCACTTTGAATTGTATAGCTCTTTCGTGTCTTAGGACTTCCCTGGTGGCTTACTTTCTTTAATTTTCATGTTATGAGTTAACTAATTTCATCTTCTTGTTCAATATTTTCTCATTCCTATGTAAATGCTGTGAATGGTAATTGAGCACAGTCATTTTCTAGACCTTCATTAAAAAGAAGCATGTCTTTCCTGTTACAACATATTCACCAAAATGTAATTATTTTTAGTTAAAAACTGTAAGTAAAATAATTTAAATCCCCAAATTAAAAATATGTAAACACTAAATAATGTTGACAGAAGCAATTATTTATTGTTAAATATCTCCACATATCTTTGCATGCAGACTTTGACAACTCAAAGGCATATCCACTCAGCAGAATACTGAATGAAACTTGCTAGAGCCACACAATGCTGAGGTTATCAAAGGATTAGATATCTGAGAACTAAAGAAAGAACAGCAACATCTACATCACTCTTTGGGAGATGTTAGAATAGCATGTGCATGGCTCTGGATTGTTACTGATCTCATACCAGACATCACACCCCATGAGAAGGAGTAAACATAGTGCTTAAGTCTTCCCTTATGAACTATCATGCCTGTTGTTTCTACTTTTTTATTATATCCACTGAAACAAAACTCCATTTCAAAAATCACATGGACTTATGATGAATCTCTAATCAGAGAAAGCTGAGAATTGAATTTCCAAGTACCGTATGTAAACGCTACCAACTAGCACACAAGTGAATCGTCACCTTTTTGCAGTGTTGCTTTTGTCTCTGTCACATCCTTTGGATAATCTGCAAGAAAAACAATATAAGTGTATCAACTACCACAATTTATCATATAATGTTATGACTTTCCATTTAGCAACTAGGATGATGTCTTTGTTATTATTAAAATTATTCTTATACTGAATGTCAAGATAAATTTTTTTTATTTTCTCTAGATATTAAACTAGTTAAATGATTACAGTATAACCATGAAGTCACCTATGTTTTAATATAACAATGTCTCAAAAACTATTTTAAAACATTCTAACCCATTTACAAAAATAATAATTCATGGTGAACTAAGTTTGCTATTCAAAATACCTATGGTTAAAATAGATCTTTATTAAAATTATGTAAAATATGAAAGTAATTCAAACAGCCTACTTGGCCTGTAAGAACAGGTCATTTCTACAGAGGAATGGGAGTAGAGTGAAAGGAACCAGAATGACCTCCTTTCCTGATTCTTTCTCCTGCTCATTATCTTAATCCAATTACAAGTTTCATTATTATTTCCAAATACAGAGGAGGAATGAAGCAACTGATACCTGCGATATCATTTTTGGGTTAATCTCATAGAATAATTGGAGAAGGTAATGGCACCCCACTCCAGTACTCTTGCCTGGAAAATCCCGTGGACGGAGAAGCCTGGTAGGCTGCAGTCCATGGGGCCGCGAATAGTCAGACACGACTGAGCGACTTCACTTTCACTTCTCACTTTCATGCATTGGAGAAGGAAATGGCAACCCACTCCAGTGTTCTTGCCTGGAGAATCCCAGGGACAGGGGAGCCTGGTGGGCTGCCATCTATGGGGTCGCACAGAGTCGGACACGACTGACGCGACTTAGCAGCAGCAGCAGCAACAGCATGGAATAATTGGAATTACTACACTTAAGCATTAGAACGCTATTTGTCTTTAACCCACTGTATTTCAAGTATGGAATCTAAATTCTAATTTAAATGACAGCTAATGAAATTCAAATTGATATATACAGTTTTAGTTTGTTCATATAAACATTAGGAAACTAAGTGGTGTGTTTTTAATATAATCATTTGTTTTACACAGAAAAGCTTTGGATAGGGCAGTTTATCACTATTTGGATGGCCAGAGAGACATAAAAGGTCAGGGCTAAAAAGAGGTCAGAGACACAGAATATGAGTATGAGTTGGTTAAATACCCGTTTCAGCCAGTGATCAGTCAGGTTATTCTCTGGAGGGTAAAATGTCTATGAATGATAAGGTGATGTGGCTCATCTCTTTTCTGAGCTTTACTATGTTTTATTCAGTACTCTTTTTAAAAAGGTGTGTGTGTGTGTGTGTGTGTGTGTATGAAATTCTAATTGTATTGTAAATGTTAAGAAAATCTGATTTTTTTATTATAAATAACCAACCTCTAGTTAATGTTTTTAGATAGTGGACTGTCATAGTAAGCTTGCATTAAAATATAATGTGCAACTATTATGTCATATTTTTAATTTATGAAAGGAGGGAAAGAATATAGAGTGCCTCTGACAAGAGTCATAGAGATGCTTGATCTCAATGTTCACATGCAATATTAAAAGAGAACTTGTTCCTTGCTGGTTTCATCCTAAGTTAGAGTAATTCATCTGGTATATGTGTAACTAATTCAAATAATGTGTTTTAGCACATTCATATTATAGGTATGTTTAAATTATCCTCAAGAATTCTGAGAATAGCCATTGACACAAAATTTATTTTTATGCCACTTAGTCTGAAACATAGATAAGGTTTACAGTTAATTATCAAAGATATTTTCCTAGAT